AAAATAAAACAATGGATCTAAAGTTAATATAAAATATATATATATATAAACCCATTTGCTAAATTTTATTAAATAGTCTATACATATATTTTCTTTTCTCATCACAAAGTGTCTCTTTTTGATGAGCAACGAAAAGATATATTTGTTCGATATATATTTTCAAATTTGAAAGGTTTTTAGAAAAACAGGTATTTATATATATGTATAAAGCCGAAAGAAACGCAGTCATGTAAACGAGGCCCAACACAAGTCCGAATCTGTCTTGGCAAGCAGGTGTCTTCTTAACAACTTATTCGTTCCTCAGTGTGTGATAAAAAGCACGTGATAGTTTTAGAGAGTTTGAAATGTGGGTCAGGGTTGGTAAAGACGAGGCCTCTCCTGGAACAATTGCAAATTTTTTATCAACTGCTGATAAGCTTCGACCGCCCATCCCTTCATTTTCCATCTCGATTAATAAATTATCCTGTAACTAATTGTCATCACCAAAGAAGAGTCGCTAATTGCCTAAGAGAATCGCACGAACAAAAACTGAATAACTTTCATTTTACAGTTGCAGAAAATGGTTTGCTGGTGTGACAACTTGATTTTGTTACTATTTTGTTTTTAGTTCTAGTCGGTTACGAAGCGGAGAGAAAAAAAAGCCACAAAGCGCAGTTAGATACACAGTTAATTTCAAATATTTTGAAACAAGTTTGTATGTGTGGCCGTACATTAATTTTGAATAGTTGTGTTGTCTACGTAGTACATTCGGGGATTGTCACGAATTCAATTTGTCTCCTACAACAACTGACATCGCCAGCTTGAGCTTTTGCATTTTTAGCTTTCCGTAGCTGATAATGATTCAAGTCTTAACTTCACACGAAAGGTATGGACCCTTGATTAGCATCCAAATATAATGGAATTTGATTCTGGCAAGGAGCGACTCTTTGCCGCACTGTAAAAACACTGAAATAACAGATGTTTCTATATTTGCCTTAAATTGCTATCTCATGACAGAGGCACCCAAAGGTTCCCGAGAAAAAAATATTTTTTTGACCCAATAGAAAATTTCCTAATGCATTTTAAATGAGTAAGTCATTGTTGTGTGTTACGATAAAACTATTTCAACTAGTTTTCCTATGATTAAAAGAAAGCGCTTGACGTTGATGTTGACGCCATATTGCCAAAAGAGGCGGTCTAGTTTTAGTCATGAATTTGTTTGTTTTGCGATCAGAAAAATATTCGTAAAGCTCACGAGAAGAAGTCTTTGTTACTTGTGTATTTAACTGAAGGTTACGAAAGTAAACGGAATAAAATTGACCATCTCTGTTTGTTACAGAATTTTTTACAAATCGATTGATGTTCTGAAATTATATTGGCAACAGCGAAAAACAAGTTTCGCATCATTTGTATAGAGGTCACCATATGTCCAGTTTGTCGCTTATGTATCTTTAGGTTGTCTCTGAGTTTTACGGATTTTATTTCCTCCATTTCTTTCATTTCTTTCACTGCGGTCCCCAAGGTCCACAATTTTTTTTTTTAATTGAGTTGTTTTCAAGGCTTTGTATAAGCTCAGACTTTGCTTCAATATCATATCATCTAATTATCGCCCTAAAAACGACATGTTTATTTCACCCATTAAAGAAGTGAGAAAATGGATCTTTTAAGACTTAGGAGGCCCATATCGTATTGTAAAACAAAAAACATAGCCCATGTCTTTGTGTTTGTCAAGGGAATTCACTTTCAGTGCTAATTTGAAATTAAACTGAAACTTTATTTACTGAAATCAACAGCTGGTTGCGACGAACATGTTCTTGTTTAATTATCAAGGTACTGAATTATCATAGAGGATCAGAAAGAAAATTTCCTGGGAAAGAACTCTTGTTAAAGCAGGGATTGACGCATCTTCAGCGATTAAGTCTTTCGTCTGATTTTTCTGTCAGCTAATCCTCCGTTGGTAAATGAAATGACTAATTTGAAGCCGGAATAAAATATTGAATCTATAGAGAGTAATTATTTTGCAAAAACGAAATTTTTTCCAACCTAAAACGAGGCGGCGAATCTGTGGTGGTTAACTTATTTTTCCTAATCTTTGACAGGGTATTTTTAACAGTTGTTTCGTGTGTCACTGTGCGGTCATTAAATATACGATGCACGCAGGAAGTTTGGAGAGCTTGAAAGATAGGCGGAAGTTACTTAACACGCAACCAAGAGTGATTGTAGGTTCATAAATAATAAATGTTGTTTATGTAGGTTTAACAAGGTGTAGTTTTTAACTCGACTTCGTCACGGGAATTATTCAATAATAATATTATTCACTTCATCTTCGGCAAATAATTGTTAAATATTTTTATCGAGTGTTGATAGTTTTTAAGTATCCATTCCTTCATTTTCCTTCTCGATCAATAAATTATCATGTTCACTTTAGCACAGTCATATAACTCTGGTTATCGGAGGAGAATTGCCAATCGCTCAGGGGAATTACGACATGAAGAATTCAGTCACTGCTGTATACATGAAAGCGTTGGCAGAGAAAAATTTGGGCGAACTTTGTTATATAATTTTTGCAGGACAATCACTTTAAAATTTTTGGCGAAAGGAGGAGAACAAATAGAGAACGTAAAAGAAACAGCGAAAAATTGTTTCAGAAAGTAATTTCCTGCTTTTCTTCTGTTTTGTTTCTCGTTTTGTCGGTACCCGATGGAACTCTGGGATTAAAAGATACCGAGCGCGTAGGGCCATCATGGCTGGTGCAAAACAATGGTTTCTCCGCCTCCTCTATTTTCAGTTAGCGCCCATTTTTCTTATCTTGTTGACCAAAGGGATGAAGAAAGGAAATTACATCATGGGGCGAAATAGGCAAAATAGACAAAACAGTTTCTGTTAAAAAAAATCATCATAACTTTCCTAACGAAAGTGAAAAAGCTGGTAGAGAACGAGTTTGAAAAATCGATGGCGCGCGGCCTAACATCTTGGTACGGTTTTGTTTTTAATATCAGTCCGGGGACGAAAAACGGAAAGAAAAAGCCTGTCATTACAAATTGATTCAAACATTTAAAAATACGTTTACATCTGTGACCAAAATTTAAATTTAAATTGTTTGATGCATTCGCAGATTGTCTCAAATCGCACTTTTCTAAGACGAAAAAAAATCGCGCCAGCTTGAAATTTTATTTCCAATTTTTCATGGCTACTAATGATACAAGTCTGAACTTCACACGAATAATATGGACACCAGGTTAGCACCCTATCAGTGAAAGTTGATCTAGATAAAAGGAGATTGTTCGTCGTTCTTTTAAAAGAATGATACCACAGATGTCTCTCCATTTTCTACTTATTTCCATTTCATACCTGAGGCACTTCAAAGGTTCAATAATTGGACACAACAGACAATTTTCTGACGTATTTTAAACGAGTAAACACTGATGAAGAATTCTCAGGGTGTATAAATATCATTAATTGAAGTATGAGGTGTAATTGATCGTGGCTGGATGTGGGCTGTTTAGACGACATATTGCTCGTGGCAATCTTAGATAACCTTCGACAAATTTCAGAAGAGTTGGAACACAGACGAAAACAATTGAAGAACTGCTATGCTCTCCTCTTTGTTGGTTGGGCTTCAACCAGAATCAGTTTCATACCTGAGGCATCCCACAGCTGCAAATTTCTGACGCATTTTAAATGATTAAACACGAGGGAGGAAGTCTTTATGAAAGGTTTCAGTTATCATAGTTCGGCGTGTCCTGTTTAGACGAAATATTTCTCGTTGCAAGAACAGAGGAAACGAATGCAGAATTATTCGACAACAAATTTCACCAGAGGTGGAACAAAGACAAAAACATTTGAAGAACTGGTATGCTCCCCCTCTTTGATCATGGGTGGGCTTCAATCAGCATCAGTTTCTTTCGCAGCAGTCAACATTTTCCTCGCCGTCACAGCATTTCTTGGTAATTCTCTCATCCTTGTTGCCCTTCACAAAGAATCTTCCCTTCATCCGCCGTCCAAACTCTTGTATCGGTGTCTGGCAACAACTGACCTGTTGGTTGGTCTTGTTGCTCAGCCTCTCCATGTTACTTATTGGATGTCCGTGGTTCACGAACACTGGAGCCTCTGTCATTACGCAAGAGAAGCAGCTTACATTACAGGCGTAGCATTATGTGGAGTTTCTTTGCTGACGATGGCGGTAATAAGCGTGGACAGGCTTCTTGCCCTGTTGTTGGGGCTGAGATACAAAGAGATTGTAACTTTGAAGCGCATTTATATCATTATAGCTAGCTTTTGGGTTTTATGTCTTGTCGCCTCTTTATGCATCATTTTCGATCAGCGTATAACCAATTTGTGTATCTTGATATCTATACCACTTTCGCTGCTTATTTCACTCGCCTCGTACACAAAGATTTTTCGCACTCTTAGACATCATCAGGCACAAGTTCAACAACAGCCGAGCCAACCAAATGCACTGAACATGGCGCGATACAGAAAAGCAGTGCACAGTGCACTGTGGGTACAGTCAGTCTTAGTTATTTGTTATACACCATGCCTTATTGTGGTATTTGTAATCACTTCTAGTACAACATATTCATCAAACTCAGTCGTCGCATGGGAAATGGCAATTATCCTTACTTACTTTAACTCGACGTTAAACCCGTTTCTTTACTGCTGGAAGATTAGTGAGGTGAGACGAGCAATGAAGCAGACAATCAGACAAGCACTTTGCTGTCCATGGAGTTAGACCATCCTCGAGTTATATATGATCGTATAAGTACTTTCAGTGCAAAGCTGACCGATAGAGAACGCTTGTCGCTTAAATTTTTGCTCGAGGTCTGTCGATAGTATTTTTTGCTAGTCACGTAAAACAAAATTAAGGAAAGGTAATGGAAACACAAACCAAAACTTTTAAAAAATATTTTTCATGCTACTAAACTTTTTTTGAATGCATAAATTATTAATCCAAGGAAAGATATACGTGCACAAGAGGATATATAATCTCTTATAATCTCTTGACTTAAATTATACTCTCATGAATGTTATTATAAGAAAGCGAAAGAAATAAAATTAACTATAACAATTTTTATTAAGACTACGCGGGATGCGGTTTCAGAGGGTTGCTGCTCCAGTGCCGATCGATCCTTCATTAAATTAAACATTTACACGGATTATCATGAATGTTTTGAATTAATTAACGATATATTTTACAAAGTACAAGTTAACGAGCTTTAAATAGCCTATACTGAGTTAATAATATTCTAAATTTGTTCAGTTTCTCGTGAAATAATGGCTCTACCTTCTCGAACGCACGTGTACGCTTGGTAAAATCCTACCTGACATAAAAAATTGAAACAGGGCTCTTGTTTCGCATTCTTGGAGTTCCGGTAATTCGAGTTTTTATTGAACGAATCGGTTGACAATGCTGCACATGTGATGAAAGTTTTTGAAGAAATCTGCCGCAAAATTTTCCTCTGAACAGTTCAGTCGACCAAAACGACACAGTGCAGAAGTAGGTAACGAATAATATTGTCTATTGAAACTAAAGCTCGTCTTAAAGCTGCGGTTTTTCTAAGTGAGCGAGACGCTGAGCGTTTAGTTCGATTTAAAGACTGCATTGAGCGAACATCAACAGATGTTTCAGAACCGTTTGCTTCAAAAAACTGAAAATCTAAAATGAGTCCGCAGTGAAGACCGTCAAACGAATTAATCCTTTGTAAACAATATCAGAGCATTGGATAAAACTTAAAAAGTGGTGTAAGAGTGGTCGTCTGTGAAAATCGAGCAGAGGTGTTGAAAATGAAAAAATTGAAATTTTTTCAAACTTTGCCAGAACATAGGTATAAATGGCCTTAGTTATGGAAAAATATAAAAAAATGCCGAAAAAAAATTATGTTGGGAGAACGGTGGCATTTTGTGTTTTGGGGGTTCATAACCGTGTTTTCCCGGTGAAATAGTGCACCTCAAGATAACGGCCGAAAAAAACTTATTTCGCCAGCAATTCGGAAACAACATAACAATTCTAAAACAAGAGATATTTTTCAAAGGTTCTGAAGTATTTTTTCCAAGATTCCTTAAAAAAACGATTTTTTTACGAATTTTCTAATTCGGGTGAAATTTCATCCATCAAAACATAGCTCAACTTTGGCGACTAAAATCGGCCATTGTCACATGGCTCCATAAACTGACCATGAGACAATAACCATTGTCAAGAACAAGGCTTCTTCTTTTAGAAACTGCAATAAAATTTGTGGGCTATACCAATAATTTTTAGAGCGATTTATAGAAGCGTTTTGAGCTCAAGAGGCGCGTTACGTGACCAACGTGACTTGCACGTCACATTAAGAAAAACATTACCAAAACACTCGAATTCCCTCTTATATCATATAAAAACTTCGAAACAGGTCTCCTTCATATTAAATATACATATAATTTTCTCCTGAAGCCAAAAAGTCAAGGCAATCTGGGCAATCTTCGATAGTCTAGTATATGCAAATTGCTGGTTTATGTTGTTACAACGGTCATATTCGCAACTAATACCAACCCAACGATAACAAAAACTTTTTTAACATCAGAAGGAATTGCCCAGGCTATAATTACACAAAAAGTTACCTTTAGAAGTGGTTTCCATGCCAAGAGCATGCACTTTAGCCAGCTCCACCGTTTTCAAAACTTATCCATGTGATTGCGTTACACACAGGAAGTCCATTAAGTGAGAATGATACAGAAGATGACCAACGTTTTTAACAGAACAAGGTTGGTCTTTATAAAATCCTTTCGATCTAAAACATGTTTATGTAAACGTGAGGTTTTCACTGCCAATTTTTTTTTATAACAAAGCTACAAAGGGATAATGTCGTATCGTAGCCGTGTATGACGCATATGCACCTATTGTGCTTATTTCTCTCAAGGCAGTTGGAATAATGTTGGTGTCCCTCTATTCCAGGAGTCATTACTTTCTGAATACGAAGACTATGGTCACTTCCAGCTGGAAAGTTCCTATTTTTCTTTGCACGTACACGGATTTATCAGTTCATTGATCAGACCAACGTATGGCGCTTTTCGTGTAGCAGGAAGGGAATCAATTTCCAATTGGAAATATGTGCATATATCTTGAAGGAAAGAAATAATGAAACGAGTAAGCTTGTTCGTGGCATACAGTTGACAGAGGTGGTATGTGTCATACAAAATGGGATGACTAAGCTGGCACTCTTGAATTATCTTGTCATGAGCTGAGGAGTATGCCATTTCTTCATCAATGGCTGGTACATCGATCTCTGCTACCGATTCCGCCTGTTTGATCTTCGCTACTGACCTTGAGAAGTACGACTTTATCTGCTGTGGTGATAAAAACTCGCCAACAGCAAATCGACGCTCTCCGTTTTCATTTTTAGCGCGACGCATATCACTCGCAACTTGGGATGGATCTTCTTTGTAACCAGTCTCCTGGCCAAGTTTGAACTTTTCATCGAGATAATTCTTTTGGTTTTCGTTGAAATGCTTTGATTTCTTAGACGCCCTCAGTGCCCAGCCTTCCGAAAGTTTTGTCGAGCTTGATATCAGTACAGTAAAGCTGGCCATTTGAGGTTGTGTGCTTGTTCCTTCTGTCAGCTTTTGCACATAAAGTATCTTTGCTTTTATCAATGAGGGTAGTTTTCTCTTCTACTATCCTGATACTATCTCTTATCAAGGTGGCGGTCAGGATGGAATTCTGATGTATACTCACGTGACCCCCACCGGAACTGAAGTGTAGATGTTACCACCTAATCATCGTCCCAAAAGAATGACAGAATATCTAAATAAACTGCTAATTCTGGAAGATTAGTGAAGTGAGACAAAAAGTGAAGCAGACAATTAAAGGAACACATGGTTGAGTCAGGTCTTCCTCGGGTTGTTCTTCAGACTTTCTATCAACACTTATTCATTTATCCTATCAACGTCACTCTTCCTTAGTAGGGACAGTTTTTGCCTTATACTGTGAGTGATAAAAAAAGGAAATTATTTTATTTTTACTTTTACCTCTTAGCGCAAACGTATTCAAAGATTAAACTTACCAAGTTGAATAAACATGTAATGTAGTTGCGACGCGCAACACAGTTAGGCGACAAACATCCAGCCTCTCTTAATTAACAAAGATAATTTGCAGGGAAATTTGCTATAAAAAAACCTTTCTTAAATTTGGAGGGAACTTTTAGAGTTTATTGATGGAATAACATGACAGAATTACCCGTTACAAAGAAATTTACAGAAAGGTTATATTCAATGCGACTCCTGGGAAGAAATTAACAGCTCATGTGACAGAAGAAGCATTGAGTATTCGCATGTTAAATAAGTGAACCTCATTACTGAGAAAGTTTCAATGAAAAGGTCTACGTGATTGCAGCCTGGCAGGCGCTTTCAAGACAAAAATATCTCTCGTTACATACAGTTACGAGTAACCTGAAGAAAAAGCGAAGAAAGTGATTATTGAGTAACGAAATTAAATGATGAATAATTTTTTTGACAAAGGATTGTCTCTCGTTTTTAATAAATGCACTATACCTGGATAAAATGATTGTTCGTCTGAGCGACGAAGGAATGTCTATCGCGCTATAAAATATTAACATTCGCAAATGTTTTGTTCTTTTCGATAAATCATAGCTGAGGTAAAAGTAAGGCTTTAAGAAAAATGGTTCATAATTTTTTTTGTACACAATTGACAGTATTTCCGAGCATTTCAAACGAGTAAACGCGACTGAAAAAGTTTTCATATGATTATTCTGAGAAAAGTAAAGTTTAAGTGATCAACGCTGGGCAGGTGCTCTCAAGACGAAATATTTCCTTTTGCGATCATACGTATTCTGAAGGAAAAAACTAAACGACTGCAGAATGATAGCGGAAACAAATCTAACCGAAGATGGAGCACCCCTTCTTTGGTAAATAGATTTCAACCACAATCCATCTACTACTCAGCAGTTTACGTTCTCCTCTCCTTCATAACCAGTCTTGGGAGTTCTCTTATCTTTGTTGGGCAAAGTTTCCGCACAGCCCCATACTTCATTATGCATAGAGTCCTTTGTTAGAAGAAAACAATAGCGCAAACAATAGATTACCTCTGGGACTATTCGCTTTGTTTTCAAGAAGTTGAATTTTTTTTTAAGTCTTTACTCAAACCTTTAAAAAATCGCCGTTTTTCAATTAAAAATTGCGCTTAATCGAGTAAAAAATTACTATGCTTTATGAAATCTATAAATCAAAACAGCTTAAATTCCGCCTCATATTAGCCTCAAAATTGTTGTTTTTGAAAGCAAACATTCGTAAAACGATGAAAATAAAATCGATGCTCACCTTTAAAGTTGTTCATTGTCGTTGTCGTTTTTCCTTTTCTCTTTAACAGTAGAGTTGCTTATTTTTCTCTCTCACTGAATGTTTATTTTCATCCGCAGTGGTTGTGTAGACAGGCACCAGCACATACAGAGGCACGAGGAGCTTAGTTTTTATGATGTCTTTCGAACATCATATACTTCGGCGATATGCTCGATTATATTTCTAAGAGGATCTTCTCCATATTGCTTACGCCACAACCACTCCTGTAGGTAGCTACCGAAGAGAGCTTTGGATATTCCTGTACGAGGTATACTTCGTTTGATTCCCCACCGTGTATTTTCAATGCGCTGAGTATGAGCGCCTGTGTCTGGGTCTACGAAGTTTAGGCTGTGGTTCACTGTGAGATGATTGTAGCCCTCGTCCCTGTAGGCAATCATAAGCTTTCCACATGCCGCTTATCACGCATATTCCCGGCAATATTTGAGCGCGTATAACGGGTATGAGCGTATCTTTATCCCTGCGCTCTACCGGTACAAGGAAGCAGGCCTTGGTTTCACGGCAAATGCCACCAAAGATCCACTTTCCTTCGACGTAGCGACCGCAGTGATACATCTC